CATGACATCACTTCTCAATCCGCTACTTATCATGGTACTCGATCCATGACATCACTTTTAAATCCGCTACTAATCATGGTACTCGTACCATGATATCGCCTCTTGCGGCTATCGGATCTTGTCCCATCAAACCCTGGTGACTTCGTGTTGCTGAGCTCCCGGTACAGCAACGAGTCACCCCCTCGTGGCCTAGCAGTTGCGACAGCTTCGGTGGCTGCAGCAGCAGCAGCTTCCGAAACAGCAGCATATCGCTCATCGAACGTCTCAATCAACGTGGTCTCGATAGACCCAAGCATCTCGTGTATGACCTCACGTATGGTCGCGGCCACCTCATCACGAATCATCCTGCGAATCTCGTCATCGCTAACTCCGCTGCTCTTTGGTGTGTGACGTGTACCCACCATGCTGTCTCTGAAACACAACACAAAGATACCAGAGACTCGATCGAGTATACTCGCACTCGATCACCCAACCCTACTTGTTCCCTGGTACCCTAAGGATTCTTACTTGGACTGCTCACTGATCCGGTGTTTTCAGTAGTACGGGCCCTATACTATCGTCCACACCGCATCAGTATTCACCCCAAGTCCTCCTCCTAGGATCCCAGATCACAAGTACTCTACTTCGCGCTAAGCACAGGCTACCCTTCGGTATGCCTCTCATAAGCTCCTCACTGCTACTTACTCACTCTCGAAGGATCATATAGCAGCAGTAATCCCCTAGGCTAAGGCATCACAAATCAGGCCACTCTAGTCCTAATATGAATACCTAGCCTACCCTAGCATGCATAACATATCATATCATATCTCATAACACATAATGTAAGGGTATTTTGGGAAATCACCGTTCGGGCGCTGGCTGATCGTACACACTGCTTCTTTCCGCTTTCCTCAATTTCCTTTACTTTTTAGAAAAATTGTTCCTTTTATGAAAAACTTTCTCAAATCCTCAGTTTGAGTTCAAATACACCCGAAGGTGCATCCGAATCCCTCAAACCAAGGCTCTGATACCAACTTGTAACAACGTAAATTTTCAAAACAATATTTCATTTTTAAAACATAGTTTCATTCATAAGAAATAATAAAATCCAATGTATCCCATGTCATCCAAATGAAACAATCCCAAGATCCCAAATACATAAAAACTCCATCAGTGTGTATAGATCATGCCGGCGCCTTCCCGCTATCCTCGCTAGTACCTAAAACACATATCACATAACACGGTAAGCATAAATGCTTAGTGAGTTCCCCAAATACCACATACAACACATACGCCACTCAAGGCCATAGCTCTATGGGACCTTCCGGTCCATGTGTCTCAGGGGACTTTCGTCCCAACCCTGGTAGACCTTCCGGTTCTACCCGTCATGACCTTCCGGTCCATACACTGTTGACCTTCTGGTCCATATCATAATGACCTTCCGGTCCATACCATACTACTCATAACATAACATAGCACATACATATCACATATATCACATATTCTGCATATCATATAAGACCTTCCGGTCACACATAATTACCACTCTAGGTAAAGCATAGTGAGAAGACTCACCTCGTACGATGTCGGATAATCTCTCTTGCTTGATAACCCAACCTAGCCTCCTCTTATTAACATAATAACATTTCTAATCAATACCTTCTCATGTCCTTACTTCTAAAGGATGGGTAGAAGACCATTCTACCCCTCCCCGATCTCTCATGAACCAGCTTGACTAAAACCCTAAGGTCAACTGAAGTCAACTCCAGTCAACAGTCAAACTTTGACCCGACTCGTCGAGTGCACTCGGGTGACTCGGCGAGTCCAAGCGTGTCCTCCGAATCCTTCTAAGCCTTTACTCGACTCATCGAGTGAACCTTCCACTCGACGGGTTACCTCTGGTCATGAATCGTTGGGCAACCCCGACTCAACTCGTCGAGTTCCCTATGGACTCGGCGAGTTCCTTCCATAGACATACTCAAATGACCTTCTGAGGTCAAATTTGCTTCTCTAACTAATAGATCTGACCCTACCATACTCAATAATCATGTAAAGGTCTGACCTTTACACTCATGCCACGTCCATAATGCTTCTTTTGGTGAAATAGCCTCTAAAATGGCAACCTAGGTTCATATCTCTAATGGAATAGCATAAAGCAGGATAGATAGGACACTCTGGACCTCTTAAGGTCCAGATCTAAGAAGAACTCCACCTTGGGACCTCATATACTTCGAATCCAAGCTAAAGAAGGCATAAGAAAACCCTAGATTCAAGTAGATCACCAAATACATGAGATTGAGCACATATTTATACCTCTAGCAGCCTCTTCTGATCAATTGGTGGTAGATCTGAGCTCCTCAATCTTCCTTGCTAGCCCTCCTTCCTTCTTTCTTGCAAAATCACACTTAGAATGATGAAAACGACTTCCTCTCTCTCTCACAGCGCTCTCAGGTGCTCTGGTGCTCTCAAGGGTGAAGGTGGCCACAAATGAGGGCCATAAGGTCTCTTAAATAGGTCCCAAACCCGGACAATTAGGGTTTTCCTTAACAACGCTGACTCGGCGAGTCAGATACCCGACTCGTCGAGTCCCTTCATTAAACTGGTCATCGAGTCACGATTCTACTCGACGAGTTGAGGCGTCAACTCATCGAGTCACTCCTCATAACTCAAGAAGAAATACTCAAATTGTCATGCCTGGAAATCCGTATGTTACATTACCGGATTCTCCGTTGGACATTTCTACTACATAAGGCTCATTTAATTTCCTAGACTTATGGCTTAAAATATTTCTAAACTTAGGTGTAATGAAACTTCTTTCAGCACCGGAATCAAAGAGTATAGATGCGTATAAATCGTTAACAGGAGATATACATGTCACAACGGTGGGGTCCTGAATGGCATCCTTTGTGCCAATCACGAACACTCTTCCTCCATCATTCCTCAACCTTGGGTAGTTCCTTTTGATGTGCCCAACAATCTCACATTCAAAGCATGCTCGATTATCTGGGAAAGCAGCCATGCCTTGGTTGGTTGTGGAAGAAGGAGCATCCGCGGGCTGGCAACAGTATATCTCGGTATTCCCTCTACGATTGCACCTGTTACAATCCATGCAATTGCCAAAGTGGTGGAAGTGACACAAATATCACTTCGTGTGCTTTCCCGCATACTGTCCTTGAGATGTGGGGGTTGCGACTGTTGTTGGGAACAGACTGTTGGCGTAAGCCATGTCAGTCTCCTGTCTCTTGTTGGGAGATTTCTTGGAGGTACCTTTGAATTTGTTTGTAGATTTTCACTTTACCTCCATTGACCTATGGATGTCAGTCTTCTGGACTAACATGCCTCGTCTTATTTCTTGTTTGGTCAGGCTGAAATCCAACCTTTTAGCACTATTGTATGTCAACGGTCGAGAGGTTGTGACCAACCCTTGGATGGGTTGAACCAATCCCCAAATTTACCTTTCCACTTTCTTGTACTCAGGGGTTACAAAGTTTGGGAAAAGGGTAGTGAGGTCGTTGAACCTACTGGTGTAGGTCGAGATGTCAGTGTCGCTCATGGTAAAGTTCCACACTTCCTACTCTAGTTGTTGCATCTCCTCCCGAGGACAATACTCCTCATTGAGCACTTGTTTCAATAGCTCCCAAGACAGAGCATTGGCATTGGCGAGACGTAGAGTCTTGACGTGGCCATTCCACTAACACATAGCCGCGTTTGCGAACGTTCAGACATTGAACTTGTCCTTGCTCTCCTCAGTACAAGAGCTGATCTCGAAGATAGACTCAGTCTTCTCGATCAATCTGGTAAGTCCTACAACTCCCTTTTTCCCATGGAACGTTTTGGGTTCGCAGTTCATGAAATCCTTGTAGGTGCTTGTTCTTGGTGCACCTTTCTCATTTCCTTGGGAGCCTTATGCTCCCGCTCCAGAGTTTGTGTGATTACCGTGGGCGGCTAGTGCCTCAGTTATTCTTCGTTCGACCATTGCTTCAACAAACGCATGGTCTAGAGGCGGGTCACTTTGTGCTGACTGAGCATCCTACTCAGCTTGAAGACCTTGACTACATCTAGTAGTTCTTGGAGGTTCCATTTCCGGATTCCTAAAGTTAGTATCGAAACGTAAGTTAATTTGTCGGAATTAGCATGTTTGTGCTCTCATGGTTAGGTTGTGGTGTGTTAATGTTAATGTTAATGGGAACAACAATAACAACACAAATTTCATGCAACTAGGTATGTATTATATATATATATATATATATATATATATATATATGTATATATATATATATATATATATATATATATATATATATATATGTGTGTATATATATAGGAGTAGGATCAAATGAGAACACCAAAAAGGTTGAGAACGCGAGAACAAAGTATATTCATTTGTGATTCCATGTATTCATTTGTGGAGAAATGATAAATTTTACGCCTTTAATTTCAATTGAAGAGAAAAATCATATTCATGTTGATTGTGCGTAAAAATTTATCATTTCTCCACAAATGAATACATGGAATCACAAATGAATATACTTGTTCTCGCGTTCTCAACCTTTTAGGTGTTATCATTTGATCATTTCCCTATATATATATATATATATATATATATATATATATATATATATATATATATATATATATATATATATATATATATATATATATATAGATATATATATATATATCTATATATATATATATATATATCATGCCGAAGCTACCAAAACTAGGTGTGGTTCGGGTAGGAAAAGCCCTGTGAATACAAAACATACATGTGAAGGCTTTTCTCCACTACCCTAACCCAAAAGAAAGTATCTATATCCCTACTAGCTACCATGCTAGGGCCCAAACAACATAAAATAAAAACCACAGTACACTATGAGAAGTGCCATCAGCTGAACTAGTTGCCTATATACAAACTCTAGCCAAACACTAAAAAGTGACTCTCGAGACTCCACCATCTATACCTAGAGCTCCAATTAATTTGAGTGACTAATCACCTCCTCTAGCACCTGGCGGTGGAACTAGGTCTCCTCCCGTGCCTCCCGCAGCTGGTCCTGAACGAGCAACGTCCTCATATCCAACGTGTGTCTCTCCTCCTCCAAGTAATGCACCCTATCCCTGAGCTGCATCAAATCCATCCTCAACAAGAAAAGCTCAGTGTCCATCACGACAGTACGATCTGAGTGATCGGCAATGTGGGGAACCACAAGAGAGATGGCTTGCTCCACAGGAGTAGCCGAGGTAGGGGAAGGTGCAATGTCCCCCACCTCAAACCGTGAGCCAATAGCCTCCTCCTGCAACCAGGATCATAGTTGGGGCATCCAGACGGCGTCTGCACGGGATTTCTTTGCTGTCAGAGGTGATGCTAGTGGGGATGCTGACCTCTTTTGTGAGGGGTTAGCAGCAACCTTGCTCGGGGTTTGGTTCACCCGAGTACCTGTGAGTGTCCTGTAAGATTTATTTATTTGAAGGAGTGGGGTAGGGTGGTGAAGTCTCCTGTGAGGTGGCAGTGTCCTCCTCATCCTATTCGGGCTCACACTCAAAACTAAGAAGCTCTAGCCCAACTGGTATATAGTCTGGTGAAAGTGTTGGCTCTGATAGGCGCTTAGTGGGAGTATAATTGGGATCTGAGTCATCACCGTCCTCTAGGGTATCGACTGAGTCATCAAGTACTATACATTCCTCCTCTGATGAGGAAGTTTCCCTCCACGATCCATCGCCTACCATGCTCTCAGCAAACCTGCATAAGTCATCAAACAGGAAGATGTTTTATAAGAGATGTGAAGATCAATTAAATACTATATAATATCAAATTATAAGTATAAAATAGATAGTACCCGTAACTGCCCAGTCTCCCTGCTATGTCATAAGTTAGTGATTCCTAGGGAGAAAATCCTCGAGTTTAGATATCATTGTGTTAGCCATCCCCATACGTATAAGTCTCTAAGAGAAGCTTCTGAGTATAGAATTCTATGCATCCAATCCAGAAGTCCTCAAGCGTTTAGATTGCCAACCGTCATACCAGAGTTCGGTCTTGCGTCGGTCGAACCATAATAAAACTTAGTTGCGCACTCTAGGTTTAGTTGTGGTACGACTGCTCTACTACACCAACTCTAAATATGGGTTTTGGCCTAAAATGTTGAGTTGCTACTTCGTGGGTTCATATTGTTGGGTAGTAGATATACTTATTTGACCGTATATTTATTGCTCTTAATCTTTGTTGGTTTAGGTGTATTTTAGGGTTTTGTACTCCAAGACTCTCAAGTAAGGATCAGCCAAATGAGAAGTACCAGTGGGCATGATCATTTTAGCATATAGGCGTTCTGAAATCCAGCAACCCAAGTGATAGTTTAAAGTAGACACCTCTCCTGTAAGTAATCAAGAAGTAGAGTAATTAATATTAATAACTATTATTATTAGGCTTTGATGGCTAAATGTAATCAGACTGTAGTCCTAGATTATAGTTGTATTTCCTAAAGAATGACTACTTCGCTATAACCTGTAGCTCTGATACGAATCTGTCACATCCCTAGCCGGCGACGGAAGCGCCAGGCTGTGCGATGTTAGGATGTTGGGATTTCAGACCAGGATATGCATTGAATAATACATAGGATGTACCAAACAACGTAGTTATTTACTCATTAAATAAAATATATTACACAATTATTCGAGGTATAGGTAGGTCATGAAAGCAAAGTACAAAAGTAAAACACATAGGTTTCGGGCTGCATCACCGGGTTATCTCCTTCTTCAGACGATTTCATTCTCTTGAGAATACATATGGCTTGAGATGTCAACATCATGTTTGTGAGTCTACAGGTTTTATTGTTATAAAACATGTGTGGGTGATTTAGTTGTTTTGTTTATCCTAAACTCACTTCCTTCATTTTATGAGTACTATTGCTACTTCCATAGGTAGGTTCCTAGTGGGAGTCTAAGATAGTTGATGTCACACCCCAAAACCGGAATGGCGGAATCGTTCGGGGGTGGAGGACGTCATGTTCAGTATCACAACAATACAAAGTAGTAAACAAGCAACAACATCATCCATTGCATTAATAATATAATTTCATACAAGTGTGTTCTATCAAGTTATATAGACACCAAAAATATACATCAAAATAAAAGATGAGTCTTGAACGAGCTCCATCTTCTCAAAACCTGGCACCGGTACCTGTTTACTGGCGACCTGAGAATACAAGTTATTTTGAAAGAGTTTATCAGCTTTAAAGCTGGTGAGATCATAAGTATATTAATGTCTGTATTTACATGAAAGTGTTTGTAAGTCTGTAATTGTATAAGTTTGTAAAAGTTTGTAATTGTTTGAACTCCCCTAGAAAACCCTATGTTTCCTACTAAAAGTAGCCTTCTACCAAGACATCTAGTGTCTGTGTGTGTGTCTCTTGTAAGAGTGTGTATTTTCCCAAATCCGACTATCATTAACCAAAATTATAGTTTTTACATTATTGTTTATTGTGTGAAGATCACAAAGTAAATGTAATGGGAAAATGAAATAGTATTGTAGTGTTGTATTAAGTAACTACTGCTGTACTAACTACCTTAAACCAATTGTTATTTAAAGTACCATGTGATCGGCCTGTATCCTGCTACCGACTCATAGAAAAACGACGATGTAAGACGTCGTAAGAAATGACGTTTGGCACCCGTAGACTTGCAAGTCCCACTGTAGCGAGCAGCAAGGTGTAGGATAGTCAATCTGGTATAGATATATACACAAACTCATACGCTCCCCACTTAAGGAGATTCTGGATACAAAACGGTCATGACAGGTAGTGCCATGCCCCGTTACGTGGCTCACATAAATGTAATAATGTTCTAGTATATGTATGTGCTAGCTGTATTGTGTGTTCTCTCCCTGTCTAGCTTGTATTCTTTGTTTCTCATCATAGTATCTATTGTTTGTTTCTCATCATAGTATCTATTGTTTGTTTCTCATCATAGTATCTATTGTTTGTTATTGACACATGTATGAACTGACTCATTGTATGTTTCCCTGTTCTAGTAATAGTATTAGTATCTCCCTAAACTATACATATTATAGTTTACTAGTAATGTTGTTTGAATGTATGAACATGTTTGTGTACCATTGCTACCCAAAGGTATTGAACTGAATGAAGTAACCTTTTATATCTATACACATATACATGATATATAACTAGGATTCAAACGACCTTCAGACAAATAACCTGAATACCCTAAGTCCACAACCAAACAAGGAACAGGAAGTAAGGTGAGCTATCAGTCATAAGTCCTTTCAATCCTACTTATATAACTATATCTACATAGATACACAGAATATAAGTTAAAAGAGTTTTAATAAAAGTATTTGATATGAAAAAGAGTTTCTAAAACAATTTGAAGTAAAACAGTTTGGTAACACAGTTTGAAAGTAAGAAATCCACTTGTTTGGTAGTTATTAATCACATGTGATTGATATAATAACTATAATTGTTCAACTTGTATCCCCCCATAAAAGCATTTAAAAACATTTAAAAGGTTAATTAAGGGGTATGAACTCACCTGTAGTGAGTGGTTTGGATGAACTGATAGTATAGGATGCTAAGTGTCAAGTGAAGACTTGAACACACACAAGGATCCTAGTTAACATATAATCACACATATATGTATCCAATTAGTCGTTAAACAACTAATTAACCAAGTTTAAGACATCCTAAGACATGTAAAACACTTGATTGAAGTGCTATAAGTCCTAAGGATTGCATCTAAGGGTTGTAGGACATTGCTATTGAGTTTGGGGTCCAAGGGTAAACTCTTTTGGAGTTTACGGTTTTGGGACCAACTCACATTGAGTTTACAGTCGTAAACCCATGAGTTTACGGCCGTAAACTCATGGTACTTTGACCATTTTGTGTTTTGAAGCTTTAAAGGTCATAAGAAGCATTCTTACTTCATGTTTAAGCCTTAGGAATTGTTTACGGCACCATTTCACTCCTTTGTGGAGTTTACGGTCCTTGGACCACTTTTCCTTGGGTTTACAGCCGTAAACCCAAATGGTTTATGGTCTTTTGATGTTTTAAGTCCTAAGCACATCAAGGATGGTATCTAGACTCGTTTCCAAGGCTTGGTAAGGGACTAGGGCACACTTTGGCCCCTTTATTAGGGTTTACGGTCCAAGAACATCTTGGACCGTAAACACCTTTGATCTTGTGTTTCCTTATGTTTTCTAGATGATTTGGAAGTGTAACAAGTCTTATAACACACTAGGGTAAGAGTACTTACTATGTAGAAGCTTGAAAAGGTGTTAAAAGTCCAAGAACACTAGTGTGTGTCTTGGTGTTCTTGGTTAAACTAAGAACACTTGAAGATCTACACAAATGGAATGATTTCACAGATGGAATCACGTAAGATCACTAGATTAAGTAAGATATCGACTAAACAAGGCAAGAAACACTTACTTTCTTGAAGATCTTGAAGAAAAGTCGGATGATACTTGAGAGAGAAATGAGTTCTAGTTCTTGAAAATGTGAAAAAGTGAATAAAATGGCTAAGTGCCATATTTATACCCCTTGGGGTTTACGGCCGTAAACACCTTGTTTAGGCCGTAAACTCCAAACTCTTGGAGTTTTGGAACTTTATTGGTGCACAATAAACCCTAGGGCATCCTCTCTCCTGTTATCTCTTGAAGTACTAACTTTAAAACACTCAGACTGACTCCAAAATGCTTAACAGTTAGCAGAAACAGTTTTGACTTCTATTGAAGTGAATGGTTGTACATAATCGAAATTTCGGGTTGTCATAGTTGAGTGTTGTTTGATCTAAACTCGCTTCCTCGAGTTTGTGAGTACTATCACTACTTAGTTGGATTAATCATAATAGTAGTTTATGATAGCTAGTTTTAGTTTGACAAAGTTACGATGAGTTCTTATAGTCGTGCTATGATTGTTGAACCTGAAGGAAATATCGCGACGCTTCATCGGACGTCACTGTGGTAAGAAAGTTATGCGTGCTTTGACTTGCCATCGGGTTGTAGCTAACAACCATAGTGGGAGTGTCAATCCCATAGAGATCTATACATATATCTCTCGCTTATTTAAGAATTACCGATTACAGGTGAGGTGATAACTGAATATCAATCAGCGTGTTGATGAACCGTGTCTCATCTAACTCTTGTCATGGGGGCCTTCCTTGGTCGGTTGTGTTGTTATTCACGTTGTATTTTATACGGTATACTAAGCTTATCCAAAGTTGGCTATAATAATGAGTTTCAACGTTTCTTGGCAACTAGCCATCGTGACAACTAGGTAAGATCTTATCGATCATAGCGACTAGGCATAATATTAGCGAAAGACTTTGGGAAGAGTAACTACCAGACATAATATTATCCTAATGCTATGGACATAATTATCTAACTATAATTACTAATAACTATGTAAAGTTGTATTTTAGACATGTATTCCTACCCTCCCCCCCCCCCACAAAATAGTTGAAAATAGGGTAGTGAACTCACCTGTGAGTTTGAAAACATTGGTGTAGGGTAGAAACCACAAGTTAGAACTTCGAGTGGCGATAGCACACGAGGCGATTTTAGAGAGAGGATTCGAGAATGATGTGAGAAAATGATCTGTTGAGACCTGCTATTTATAGCAGGTTTGGAGCGTGCTACGCTCAAATACGCACGAACCGCACGATCGTGTAACGTGTCCTCATCTCAGTGTGACACATCATCCCGTATCTCGACGCAATCGGGTGTCAATGCGTGCGAGCGCGTGATGGTAACAATTCAACTTTGAAATTTCGTAATTCTCGCATAAGAACTCCGTTCTCATCGACTCTTGTATATTCGTGAAGGTATCATCATTCTCTACAACTTTTATTTTCGTCGTTTTGTCTATTTTTGACTTTCGTTTTGGACATGCTTTATTATCGTTATAGTCTTGTAAAAATCATAACTCCTACACGTGATGTCCGTTTTAGGTGTTCATTGCCTCATAATTCCTACTTTAACTAGTACTACGATTGTCTAGTTGGTGACTTTTTCTAAAAGTCAACCAATCTCCTTGTATTTTTTGTCATTGTAACTTTTTAATTACGGTAGATATAAATTTACCATAACTGGTATATCTCATCCATACTATGTCGGATAATTACAAAATTTATATTTCTGGTATCGTGGTAGCTTAAGGAGTCTAAATATGCTATCCTGCTCTCAAAGTGACGCAACTTTTTGCGCACTTATATTTTTGCGTAATGGTTTACGTAATTAACGGTGAAAATTTCGAATATATTAAAATGTATCGGGTAGTTACGTGTCCTTATTACATTCTTACGTCCTATGGTTAAGTGTTAATGGCGTTTGGTGACATATTCTCTGGGTTGTCACGATATCCCACCCACATGCATCTAGTAACACACAAACACCATCTCTCTCTCCCGCTCTCTTTCTCTCTCCATTGGTAATGAATAACCTCCACCTGTCGGAGCACCATCGTTGTCGGAGCACCACCTCTCTCTGACACACTCACTATTAGGCGCCAACATCGTCGGAGAAGAAAAACGAGAATGGAACAACCGGCGACGCTGGACCATCCATACAAACTCTGATGGGGTAGATCTGAACGCCGTCTTCAGGGTCACTGTGTTGTGCTGTGTCGATTTGAACTCCGCTGCTTTTGTAAATGCGTTTGCTGAACTCTACCAGAATAATATGAATAACCACCACCACCTACCAGGACATCGATCTGAAAACCCTCGCTACGCAGAGATAACCACCGCCGACCCCACCCTTTTCTTTCGTCAGATCAACTGGTTGTTCTCGGATCTGCAACCCCTAGCTCCTGCGACGTAGATATGGAAAAAAAATAGATCTGCAAACCTTTTTGTTCCAGAGTTGTTTGTGTGGAGCTTTCGACGAATGAGGTAACTTAAGTAAACGAGGCTTCTTGCGGATCTGAAGAAGTGAAGCACCACCACCTCTCCCTTAGCTTCATCTAAGTTGTCAAACCACCACCATCTCTTCGTTCACCTCAGACTCGCTCTCACCCATATCACCGAAGCACCACCATATCGATTTGTCTTCTACAATTAAAGTGCTTCCAGAAGCCATCTGAAGAGTTAGCTTTTTTTTTTTTTTGAGAGAGAGAGTTTTCCAACGATGGTGGCAGTTATTGGTGGTGGTGGTTTCCAACATAGGCGTTGGTTTCTAGTGAAAAAGTATAGAGAGAGAGTCTAGAAAAAGCGATGTGGGTGGGGTGAGTTAAAATTTTGTTTCTTGTTTTATTTTAGTTAAATAAATAATAAAGTAAATAAAGAAAAGATAAAAATATAATTGGAAAGGACAAAAATATCAATTCAAACACATATAATTCCAAAATGAATTAAAGTCGCAACAAATGAAAATGATGGTAGTTCCAATTTTTTACAAAACCCAAGGATTAAATTTTCAATTGTCCTTGGCTTATCTAAACTTTCTTTTCTTTTTTACAAACACTCAAAGAAAAAATAAATCATCATGTATTAATGTATCAATTTGGAGATCCCACAAAGGGTCATGTTCACTACGGCCGTTATATGCTTTGCTTGTCATGTTTAATGTATATGACTCCACATTGGTCGACGGGAAATACTCCGACGTCGATACATCAATTTCGAAATCCCATAGGCTGTCAACAATATCACCAATGTACATATCCACATCTTCGGTGGTGGAGGTGGTGGTCGGAGAGTCAATTATATTTGGGACTAATGTGTCCCAAAACGAGTCATTCTCGCAACTCTCCTCCGCAAGTACAGAGGTCGTGGTGGCCATAGCAACCACCGGCTCGGCATTGGAAGGCCAGTAATCATCGGTGACAACTCCCTGGCAAGCATGAATGGTGGTGGACAAGGAGTCATCCAAACTACTCACATTATCGAGTTTGGAGGATGCTTCGTTAGAATGCCCGATGTAGTCGTTGATAGACAATGTTGGTGATAACGGGGGAAATGTACTCATTTGGAAATTCCATAATGAGTCGAGGCTTACGGAGGTCGTTGGCGATTGTACATTGCTTCCCGGTGACTCTCTCTGGATGCATTCATTTCTCACATCCTGCATGGCTGTAACGTTGGTGGTAGCTGTCGGTTCTTCTAGGGTGGTTGTGGGAGAAGAATCATCTTGTCCCACATCGCAAGAGGTCGTGGTGGTGGTCGTCCTGGGTTGATCCACCACTACTTTTTTCTTGCATTTTCCATCATCTGAATTCGACAAGGAGGAAGATGACACCGGCTTACAATCACCCTGGCGGAGTAAGAGAGGGAAGTTGACTTTAGCTCTGGTGCCACGGATTATAAAAGCTGCTTTGTCATAAGCCACGGCAGCTTCCTCCGGCGTGTTGTAAGTACCCAACCATAATCTCGCCTTTTTCTTCTCCGGATTCCTTATCTCCGCCGTGAACTTCCCCCAAGGTCGCCGCCGTACGCCTCTGTAACGCGTCCATTCCACAACTTCTTCTGCATTCTCCGCCGTCTTTCTCTTTTTCTTCACATTCTTGGATTTGACATGGTTATCTTCACCATCACGAGACTCCTCTTCCCCATTCTTGCTCGTAGACACCGGAACATTTTCACTACCAGAAGCGGTCTGATCACAGTCAGGACTCCTCGCTGGGGAGTGCATGGTGAAAACGTCGTCATGATCATCAAGGAGATGCTTACGAATGATATCGATAGTGGAATAAAAAGGAGTTGTATCAATAGAAGACATGTTCCTTTGATTTTGGGAGTGTTTTTCAAGTGTACAACAAGTCTCTGGTTTGCATTTTGACGAGGGAGATCGACCGTTTTTATATATATAATAAGAATGATATTTTTAATATTTTCCCTTTACGCATATTTTTCTCATTGTTTTACACGTGGTTGCAGGTTGCAACGTATGTACTAAACGTTATGTAGTAATCGATGTATTAATTATAATAAACGAGTACGATCGTATTTTAAAAATATATGAATTTTTTTAGAAAGCAATTTACAAAAAAAGTAGTAAAAGTTAGAAAGAGAATTACCTAGGATTTTATAAGTCGTTTATTAAATACTCATAAAAAATGATAACTTTATACAACAAAAACAATCATATCAAAATTATAATACAATTGATTAGTAGAAAACAAATCAGAGTATCAAATCTAATTTTTTATTTATTGAAGAACACAAAAAAATCAAAGTGGATCTACAGAGAATATGATAAAGAATTGAGATTTTAATTTTAGTAATCAAAACGAACTTCGTTGTACAAACCAGGGTGTATACAATAATACCACAGCTGTTAAGTGGAGTGTAAATATATGAATTAGGTTAATTGTTTAGTGATAGTTGAAACCAGGGTGCACATGGCGGGCCATCGTTAAACCGTGATACTCGTTCCGGCGCATGGATCGCCATCGTTACAGACATAACGTAACTGTGAAATCTTCTGTAAACTTCAATTTTCTTTTATATTTTAAAATACGTAAAATGTTCAAAACAAGATCCAAAAATATGTACTTTGAATTTCATATTAGATTTGGTGTTTTTGTTAGTCCAACTAGTTCTCTAGACGAATGAGGAGATAGAGTCTTAACATGTTGAATCACTTAAATAGTATTGCTCAATCACTCCAAATATCCAAGTTTAGATGAAGTCTAAAATTACCTTGAATACAAAGACGAAATATGTGTAAATACATTAATCATCATTTACCAAAGAATATGTAGCCTAGCGGCATCAAGTTTTTTACTGTGTGAGTGTGCCTGAGTCATAAGTTGTGGTTCAAGTCTCGTATTGTACCCAAAATATATTTTAGGAGTAGAACAAGTGTGTCCGTTCTAAATTGAAACCAAAGAACAAAATATTGATAGAGTTTCATTATTGAATAAAAGAGAGTACATATACAATGAAAGGAAAAGACGATATAAATAGAAAAACTCATTATGGGACATCAATAAACATTGAGAATTTGTCTGGTAGAAAATGAAACCGAGGAGCAATCAAGACTTTCGTAAATATATCAACAATCTAAATTGCAGATGGAACATAAGAAAAAGAAATAGTCTCTTGTTTAAAGTGGTGACGAATAAATGACAATTGAATAAGTTTTGTCCGCTCATAAAACACCGAATTCTTAGCAATAATTATCGGACTCTCGTTGTCACGGTGCAAATGCGTTGTCACGGTGCAAATGCGTAGTCTGAGAAATGTGAACACCCATGACTGCAAGAAGTCGTCACAACCACATAATCTTTCAAGATAGCTCGATGCTCAGATTAGGTAGATCATCAAGGGACAATATCTTGTTCATTACTCTTCCATGAAACCAACGAATCTCCAAGAAAGATACAATACCTAAGTGCTAGACTTGTGATCATATACATTGTTATCCCTGTCAGCATCATTATAGGTGCATAGCTCTAGAGAAGGAGTGGAAGGAAAAACCGGACTACAAAACTAAGTACCACGAAGCTATCTCAACATACGAAAAAAAAACCTCCCAATTGACCATAAAAGCAGCAGCGAAAAACTAGCCAACTACATGAACTGCGTGAACAATGTCTGGCCTAGTAACGGTAAGATAGATCACACTTTCCACAATGGTTCGATAAAGGATCTAATCTGAAAAGGGAATAATGTCAGTTGTGGAATACTTTTCAATACTCTCTAGAGAGTAATCATGTCACACCCCCGGCCGGCGGCGAAAACACCGGCTTGTGTGACGTTTTTACGTGGATCACAGTTATTGAAAATACATTGAATAGTAAAAAAATATAAAATAACTAATAAAAGTATTATTACCGAAAAGTAGGTTACAATAGTCTGATCAGTAGGCTACACAATATGACTATATCCCTAAATTATTGATGATGGTCTCCACGTCTTAATCTCCATGCATGCTAGCTTCCACTTCTCAACTTCCTAGGAATACATGTCATTCGTAAACCTCGTTAAGTCTTGTTATGATTGTTATATGCCCCTGAGGGTCAAGGAATAATGTTTTATCGAGTAGTTTCATCACTTGCCCTAATTAGGGTTTAGAATTTCCGAACACGTGAAAACTCTAAGTGATACTTTGTATTAAGATTGCGAGTTGTTCGATAAGAAACATAATGGAAACCCTAATATACAAGGGTTAGATGAGTTGACCGGTTTGACTTGTTGACTTTAGTTGACTTTGACTTGGCCAAAATTGATGGTTATCACATCATCCCCCCGTTAGAAAGAATTTCGTCCCGAAATTAGTGTTTCGACTGGGACTTCAAGAATTTGGAGGAAAAATGAGGGAACTTTTAGTAGTATAAGAAATTGATATGGTGGGGAACAACCTGCCTGATGTTAAATGACGACCTTGGAATTTCTTATTGTAACTTGAGCTGAGTCGATTTAAAAGGAGTTATTGTTTTGGAATGATAGTGTATTCTACGCATGCCTTTATGCTCTCTGCTTTATACTTGGTATTACCACTATGAGTATCTTATAATGTAGTTAGCGAGTTCCAGTATTACGAATGTTTCAACAAATTATGACGAGATTTGCATTATGAGTCCTACCAGTTCTTTTATAATCGCTTGATGTAAACTAGTCGTATATCATTAAGATTGCAAGGCATTCGGATGGGTGACCCCGTCTTAAGCCCACAACCAAACAAGTATAGGAAATGAGGCGGAATCACACATCCTAAGTCCATAGAATCTTATTGATATATGACCATAATGTTTACACTAGCCATCACAGATTTACTAGTAAAGACCCTGCGTTTTTTATATAGATGATAAGACTTATTTGGGTTTTGCCATGTTCTCGAGATGCTTTCAGCCTTTCTCGAATTTGTACTAAGTCATAAGTGATAACTTCTCCTCGGAGCGCTGCATAGGATATGCTTTAGTGTTTCTCGTTTGATTAGATCGGTAGGGAACATATGGGTTCGGTTTACACGACTAGACTTATTCAGATGATAGGGCGTTCACTTGCAATTCTGGGTAACCTGGTCCCGAAGTTCATGGTAGGACTCGTACCTGGTCTATCTATCATCAACTTGCGCATATAGGTCGTATGTAATTAAGGTTGGTGAGACAGTTGGATGGGTGACTCTGCCCCAAGTCCACAACCAGACAAGGAACAGGAAATAGGGCGGAAGCACACATCCAATGTTCGTAGAATCTTAATTATACATTATCCTCGCGTATACACGTAGTAGTGGTAGACTAACCGTACTCGTCCCAAGCTTCTGTGCTTGAACCTTATCTGCTGCACGCGTGACATTCCCGAAGGGTCTTCTGTAAATACTTGTGGTAAGGTTTCAGAAGGTATAATACTCCTCTGGTGAGTGTTTTTGGGGTTTCGCAGCGAGAGATGGCCCGGAGGTCCGTGTTGGATTTGTGTTTATGAGAGACGAAGGTTTTTTTGAGATTAGGTGAAAGGTCTTTTCGTAGCCGTTTAGTCAGGAAAGCGAGGACTATATCAATTGAAATCGAATGACGACAACAGTATCTTTTTAGGTAAAACATGTGTTAAACTGTATTCGTAAGAAGTGCTCATTAGGGTGATAGAGTATCTTGTGTTTCTTTTCAGTGTGTTCTGTTTCGTTCGATGTTATTATTACTGCAGATGATTCCTACCACAACGTCTAGCACTGGTAGTGAGTGTGTTCTGATAGCTAGCAATGATACTTGATATCATGATCCCTGACAGGTCACTCTATGGTCGAGCGGTATATGTAAGTCGCATGTAATTTGATATTGGTGAAATCTTCGAGTGGGTGGCTCCACTCAAATCCCACTACTAGACATGGAACAGGAGTCAGGATGGAATTATTTGCTTTAAGTCTGTAGTATTTTGATTATAATTAACCCCGATGTATGCACACAATCATCACAGCTTACGGGTAATGATCCTAAGGTCATATATGAATGTCTTTGATTTGATTCGAACGAGAGAGTATTTTAACTACTTTTAGAAAGACGGTAATTTTAGCAATCGTACCAAATTCATTACAAACATATGGTACTTAAACGTTTTTGTCGTTGGAAACATTACAAAAGTCCTAATAGGCTTCCGCTGGTTTAGTTGTCACACTCCTCCTGCTCCTCCGTCATTCTTCTCGGTTGGACAGTCTCTCTTGAAGTGTCCTGTTTCACCACATAGGGAGCATACTGGACGTACACCAGTATTGGTGGTTGAAGCGATGCGCTGGGTCGGGGTCCTGCAGAAGTGGACGGTATGCCCTTTCTTGTTCCAGTTGATACAGCGTGGAATCCGGCAAGCTCCTGTGTGATGGTAGTTACACTTGTTACACTTTGGAAGTGTTCCCATATATTGCCTGTCTGGTGCTTGAGCGATAGGTGTTGTGGCTGATGTCGAGGCATGTGTTGTGACTATTGTCGTAATTATAGGGGCAGCCACGGATTGCTGTCTCTTAGCAAATTTTTGAGATGGGTTGCACTTCTTTCTGTTCCAAAACTTCTGTTTCTTGCTCTTAGGTTTGTGGTCTGAGGTATTTTCGTTGGTAGATGCCCGCTGGTGTTCTTGATTGTTATTGCGGTTAGTATTTCTGACACCATCTCCGCGCCTGCTGGCGTGGTTAGCATTGAGCTGCGCAATGACGGCTGCCACGGCTGCCGTGACTGCAGCTTGAAAAATAGCATAGTCTATCTGCAGGGTTGGCGCCTTGCTAGTTGGTTGGTTACCTCTTGGTGAAGACATAATTCTGTTTCATGATGAAAAACGAATTCGTGAGTG